CTGTTGGATAATCCTCCTGGAGGTTCCTATATGATAGGATTAGTCTTGTGTCAACTTTACCTCATTACCTAATGATTGTGGGGCAGGCGGGGGTGCCAGGCAGTCCATCACATACTGGATCTTGACGCCGAGAGGCTGCATATTTTCTTACCCAATGTAAACAAACACTTGCGGAGAGCATGCGCCCTGTGCACTACCAGCACATTTCCAGTCACAGTGGTCACATGGCAACCCTGGCATCAAAAACCCCTTAAAGGGTCAGGATACACTGGTGCCAAGGAGTTAAAAGTCCCAACAGGTCATCAGTTTAGAATTATTTGTTAATAATGTCCCTAGAATTTCTTCTCTTTCTCCAGTGTGCGCAACAATGTGTAACACGTGTAGCGCAGTTGGCTTTTCCGTGTGTAAGCACCCCCATCTGTTAAGGTTCACACGTGCATGTATGTAGGGGTGGGGGGTAGGGTCAAACTTTTGGGGGGTTTAAGTGCTTAGGTGTAATTTTATTTTTATACCCAATTTTTTTTTTTTACGGTAAACTTTATTTTTTATCACCTAGAGGACAAAATGTCCCCTTTGGGATACTATTGGCCTGAAAAGTTCTCTTTAATGAGGCACCGGGGGTCTTTTACCCCTTATGTCTCATTAGGGACCCCTAATGTCTCACCTGCCCTCCACTGAAGCTAAAAGTAACAGATCACACATTAGCTACAGAAGCCAGGGAAAGTGACAGCAGAAGAGATGTAATACACTTTTCTTCCAGGTTCTTACTAGGTATGGGAGATCAGGGAATGTATGTTCACAGGTCTCCCTCCCCTCTACCCAGAGTCACAACCATGCCAGTCTCAGGTCTGCAGATGGGAGTATGGAACCTGGGAAACATGATGTCAGTGACAACAAAAGGGTTAAAAACCTAACCTAGGCTTCTTTTATTGTATTTTAATGAAAAGAGACTCAGCTCGTCCTTAGGACAGACTCATCCTGATATTGTTCAGAAATCATTGCAGTCAACCATAGGGCCTTCTCCTGGCCATATATAAGGTAAGAAATATTTTAAAGAATGTTTGGATTGCTGAGTGAATGGGAACTCCTGCCAAGCATATAGTGGGGTGGAAATTCACTTTAAGCCAGACTTGGGCAAATTGCAGCCCCAGGAACACATTTGGCCCTTTGGCAGTCCATATCCGGCCCTCGATGCCTCCACTGTCAGCATGCTTCTCTGAGCCTGTCAACTTTCTCACTGAGGAAACTGTCAGGCTTAGATAGGTACACTGACAGTTGTCCATGCTGAGAGCTGCAACAACTGGAAAGAGAGAGCCTGATGAACTGATCAGTACAGCGGGAGGGCTTGGTTCTAGTGGGAGAATATTGCCCAGGAAGCCTTCCCACTGTTCTCCTGCCACTCTGCTACCTGGCCAAGCTCTTCTTGTATTAGTGCCTGCATGGTGCAAACCTCAGGAGCCATGTACCAGGTCAGGATCTGCAGAAATCCCTGCTGTACTGATCTCAACTATCTCCTTCCAATCACAGCACTTTTCAGAGGGCATTTGACAGGCAGTGAGGAGGTATTATGATTTAACCCTGTAATAGTACACTACTGCTCTGCAAAACCATGCCGCGCAGCCCCCCAGCGAATTCAGTGGGTTTGTGATTTTGGTGCCACTTGTAAAGCTCTGCACCCCAACTTGAAAATGGCCATGGCAGGTGAACAGCCCCATCTGGTTTCTATTTTAAAGTTCATGTGGGCTGTCAGGGGGAAGTGGTAAAAAAGGGTGGCTGAGCTGTGGTTTACTGCTCCTCCCCCTGGCCTCTCATCTGAAAAAGACCTATTTCTTGAGCAGTTGTCCCAATTATCCCTATTGCCAGGTGTTTGTGACCTTTATGTTTATGTACTTACGGACCTCAGCAGCTCCAAAATTATTAGTGAGAAGAATTAAGTTCGGTCCTCCACAACAGTCTCAGTTTCTAGTGTGGCCGCTTGGTAAAATTAATTACCCACCCCTGGTTTATGCCCCTATCCCCTATGTTTTGTAGAGTGTTTTCCGATGACTGACTATGCTAAGCATGCAAAATACAACAATAGTTTGTAATTGTGCCTGCTCACATTGCAACGCTCAGTTGCTTGTACACTCAATATCCTAGTAAATTAGCTATTTTATTAGCATGATCAGGTGTTTTTGGCCCCATAGACTTCAATAGGAGCACCTGTCAACGTGTTATTATGCTATCTACATGTGCCTTTAAGGAGGGGTGGGCTCCCTGCATGCACATGTGCCCTAATCTATCCACTGCTATATGTGCTTCAGTCTGGGAGACTCTGGAAATGATAGAGTTGGGAGTATACAGAGAGAGCCTTGACTTGGGCACTGCGGCTTACACACTAAGGCCCCTTTCAGATAGGGCGGACCCGTCAAGGGGATCCGTTTGCTCAGCAGGGTATATCTCTGCTGATCCCTGCTCTGTATGATATGTGTTTTGTACCACATGTTCTATGTTGTATACTACAGTATATGCTGTTGTTTTGTCTCTAACAACCATTTCCAACTGAACTCCTGAAGAAGCTAAAGTGCAAAACGCGTCAGTACTTTGCACGACCTTCCTGAGATATATATATACTTTTTGAATGTCTAATGTTCTGTGTGTAATTATACAAATATGTAATGAGTTATAAAAGGACGGGATGTGCCTTTCTGGGGGGGCAGTACAGCTAACTATGGTTCTTTTTTTCTTTTATCCCGATTCAGTCTTAGGGGTTGTGTTACGCCAATCAATTTTAAATGGAATTTTGAAATAAAACATAATTTTATATTGACTTGTTTGTTGAGTTTGTTCTGAGGGAGGGCATTAGTGATGGGTCAAACACCCCCCCCCCCATTCGGTTCAGTAAGTGGATGACAGGTCTGTGTGCATAGACATAGACACAACCTCCTGTTTTCTATGGGAGGGTCGGATGGAGACTGACCACATGTCCGTTTCCACCCGGCTATCATTCAATCCAAATCCATCAAACCTGATTGGACCGCCAGTGTAAAAGGGACCATATTTGCAAGTGTGTGCAAACAGAACCTTCTGTTTTTAATGTGAATTGTTACACAGGGACAATCTGGTTATTTTGCAGGTTGGCTGGTACGTTTTCTGGGAAATCTTTTGTTTGTTTGAGATATGTGTTGCCCTTCCATGTGCACCATACTGCAAAGGCTAGTTATAGGTTGGGGTAGCTGCCACTTTTTTGTACAGTTAGTTGAATTGGGTGCAGGGACACACTGGATGCCTTCAGCTGCCATTGTGCTTTTGTTGGGCGTCACATGCATCCCTGTGCCTTTAATGAGGGATGAGTCCATCCAGGCACACCTGCCCTAATCTATCCATTGTGCTCCAATTTGGAAGGCTCTGGAAATGATAGAGTTATGCCGGCCATAGACGGTTCGAAAATCGGCCAATTTTTCGTCCGTAAGTTTAATCGGACGATTTTCGCACTGTTAGTGGGTTAATTTGTTGGCCGGTTTTCGCATTTTTTCCACTTTTGGATTATCGGTCATGATGTAAAATTCGTGGAAAACGACCAATTTTCGCGTCAATGATGGTCAAATCGTACGATCGTTTTTTTCCGAAAAAAATAATGCGCATGAGCCGTGACCTGGAAGGAACAGAAGTTTTGCCTGTTATATGGGGAGAACTTTATGACTTGGTCTGCCGATTTTCGTAATAATTGGTGGTTACGTCGATTTAACGAACGACCAATGTTTTGTTTAAAAATGGCCAGTTTTCGAGCCGTCTATGGCCTGCATTAGGCCCACGGTATACAGAGGAGCCTTGATGTGGGTACTATGGCTTACACACGTTTGCAAATGTGTGCAAACAAAACCCTCTGTTTTTAACGCTGACTGTTAGACAGAGTTAATCTGGTTGTTTTGCAGGCTGGCTGGCAAATGTGCTGAGAAATCATTTGTTTGTGATGTGTGTTGCCATTTGATGTGCACTTTGCTGTAAAGATTAGTTATAGGTTGGGGGATTGCCACATTTTTGTATATCATGCTATCCACGCCTAACAAACTCCTCGCCTCCTGTAGAACTGCTCTCCCCACCTTGCCCAACCTAGGAAACAAATGCCTGAAGCTTCATACACGTGCACAAACACTTACACAAAGCTTGCAAAATGCTTTAAAAATGTCCCCCCCCCCCCCCAAGGCTGACTGACCATTCGAGCACTCGGGCATTCGAGCACTCGGTCAGAATGGGGCCCCATGAAATGCCCCTGGTACCTTTTATAGGCTTTTTTTGGTATGGTTTGAGTGTGGCCAAGGACACAGGGGCCCCATGATTCCCTATTGCCCGGGGGGCCCCATGAGTTGTCAGTCCGCCCCTGGTCCCCCCCCATGAGTTGTCAGTCCGCCCCTGGTCCCCCCCAAAAAGTGTCAAAATCAAAAAGATTATGCACTGCTCAGGTATGAATGTAGGCTAAGTGTTATTAAAATACACCATTGGAAAAGTGTATATGAAACCAAAACTTTTTTCAAGTTTGGACAGAACATAGAGGAAGTGGAACCCTGTTCAGATTTTCATTGCTATGTCTTCCTTCCAATAATGTCAGCAAGGGAAAATTCAACATTTTAAGTTGTCAACACAACAGGAACAACAGGGGAAATCTTCCAATGGGAACACTTTTTCTGATGACAATTGTCTAAAAGAGGATTTCCTTCACTTTTGAGAGTTTTCCTACCACTTGCTGGCATGTCTACAGGACAGATAAAAAAGGAAATCTCCCCAGTGGGACATGGAGGAAAAAAAATATTCTATCCAAAATGAAAAGGTTCAAATTTACTTTTTGACATTTTGGGTAAAATTGTCTAAATTCTGTGGAGACCCCTAGGCAGTTGAAAAATTGGGGTCCCTTGCAGGCTTCTGGAGGTTTTTTGTGTGTGCAATCTAGTGGGATAACATTGAACTAAGGAGTGTACACGTTGGCCGCTAGATTGAGATGACCATCACTATTGTACATTATATGTACATAGGTTGCACCCAGAGGCGGACTGACCATTTGGAAACTCAGGCACTGCCCGAGGGCCTGGGGTCAGTAGGGGGCCCCATGAAATGCCCCTGGTACCTTTTTCATAGGTTTTTTTTTGAGTTTGGGCAAGGATATAGGGGCCCCATGATCCCCTATTGCCCGGGGGCCCCATGAGTTGTCAGTCCTCCCCTGGTTGCACCAATTTTTTTTACAAACTGACAGCTGAAAGAAGATGAGCTTTTCAAGATAAACTAAATGTGAGGTTGGTGTCTATGGTTTATGTTCTTTAAGTTCTTTTTGGGGTACATTACATTAATACAGTATTTTCCCTATGGTCTTTAATGTAAATGTTCCATTTCTTGAGTTGATTCTTTTTTTCTATCTTTGGAAAACAATTTAAGAAGGCTTCATTTTAAGATTCAAGATTATATCAATATTATTTTGATTAGTTGTTGCGGGACCTAAAAAAGTGTGGGACCCATAGGCCAGTTCCTACTCAGCCTATTTGGTAATCTGGCACTGGGCCCTGGTAAAGCATGTCCTTCTAATTCAAAGAAAAAAAACAAAGAAAATGTCTTCAGAAGATTCTATGTAATGCAGGCAATACACGGGTCAAATTCGGAACAAATTTTCTTTACAAATTAAGAAATTTTGTGCATTTTGTAATCCACCATTGATTTTGAAATTCAACAATCTATGCCTTCAATTTCAACTCATGTTGCTAAAGTAAAGAATTTTTGTAGCTGGGAATCTTCTTTTTTTTCCAGGTCATAGTTCATGCTCATTTCTTTTTCTATTATACTTCTCGTATAACTCTCCTATCATTGATTAGAAATTAATTTGCTTTTCAAAAAATTTCCAACATGCTTGATCACTCAAAATTGATGGCCTCTTGAAAATCGGCAGATTCTGCGGCCCACTAATAGTGCAAAATTCAAATGAAAATTCTTATGATTTTTTAAAGAAAATTTGTTCAGAATTCAACCCATGTATGGCCTGCATTGGGCTAGGTTTACATCTATGCATTTTTTTAGTGCATTTTCAGATCTGCAGAAACGCACTACAACCCATTTAACCTTATAGCCTATCAATCCTGATCACATCCATGCAGTGCATTTTTTCAGCTTGCAAATGGTTAAAATGCAAAATGTATTAAAAACACATTACAAATGCACATGAAAAAACACAAAATGCACCACAAAAATGCATCAACTGCACATACATAGATGTGAAACTAGCATAAGGTCCATTTTTCATGGAGCAGACTCTTTGCTTTGTGTGCAGATCCTCTGTTGATTGGAACCAAACGGGATGGATGTCAAAGCCCTACCTGCTCATTTTCTGCAGAGAAGACTCCGGGAAAAACCCCTGTCAGATCTATGGGTGGCCAGGTGTAAACGGACTCTGCTATCTGTTTACACCCTACTACCTCTGGTCTACTTGGATCCAGTCCTGGGCAGACCAGGAGATAGACGGGTGTAAAACGAACTTCCGCGTGTCCATAGGGCTCCTTGGACCTTCCACTTAGGTCTGTTTTAAAAACTGACAGGTGATTGGAAGGGGCCTTAAAAACCCACTGCTTTATTAAATCTTCTCCTTAAAGTGGATCCAAAGTCAAAAACGGACTTTGGGTCTACCAAACACCCTTGCTGCTCTCTCAGCTCAAAGCAAATAAAAGTCCCCAATTACCTTCTAGCTGGAACCATATGACCAACCTGTTAATTCCCAGTCCAGTTCCCAGTCCAACCTGCTAGTTCCCAGTACGGTTCCCATTCCAGTTTCCAGTCCAGTTCCCAGTCCAACCTGCTAGTTCCCAGTCCAGTTGCAGTCAAAGGCGAGTTCTGTATGAAGCAAGGGCACTGGCTGGCTACTCAGGCAGAAACGCCTTACAGAGAACTTATCCCTTCTCAGAGAGGAGACTTACAGACGGGCTGGTTCAGCACAGGGACCACCAGCAGGTAAGTATAAGAAAGTCTTTATTAGCTTTTACTGACACTGATACTGCCAAACGTTGTATATTGGTGGCAGTGGGGAGTTCTACACACACTCCCAGTGGTCGAACGTGTGTGTAAATCTGATAAGCTGACTGCTGGCTGTCAGATGGAAATGATCCGGTGGCTGTGCAGCCACCGAATCACTTCAACAAACCCTGGTAATAGCGCCCCCCGTGTTTCGGATAGAGTGGAGAGGGATTATCAGTGCCCTTATTAGGGAGATTAACCCTCTCTATTGTTCCTGGTTATTCTTATCAAACTTTGGGTTTGTCACCAGAACAGGAAATCTCTCAATGGGAACACTGGTTCTGGTAACCCTAGTGACAACCAGGGAATTCTTCACTTGGAGAGATTTCCTTTCACTTCCTGTGGTGATCAGGAGACAGGAAGTGAAAGGAAGTGTTTCCAATGGGACACATGGTAAAAAAAAACAGGGGTTTTAACCCTTCCATAATGCTATGCAAAATTTAAAAATGCAAAGTTTTACTTTAAGGGCTCATTCACACCATTATAGATGCATTTTAACACTCACATTTTCATGTGTCAATGTCATTGCTTTAAGGCAGCCCAACATACAACATACGGACCCCCAACATACAACAAATTGCACCTACACAAGTTCTGTCAACATAAAATGTACAAAGCATTCACATCTATGTGCTGTGGTGCATTATAGCACAGGTGCAATTTTTTTCTGTAAATATATGTTGGGGTGGCATTAGGAATGAATAGAAACAGTCTATCACAATGCAGCTGTACAGTGCACTACTGACCAGTACTGCATGCAAATCTGTTCTTGACTACAGGTCAGCTTTGAAAGGTATAAAAACCCAAGGACAAAAATCACAGCTTGTAAGCTCCCAGGATCAGCATCTCTAACCCTCTTGTATTGAACTGCATTGTTGCTGAATTGCCTCCCTTTATATTGTAAAGCGCTGAGCAAACTGTTGGCGCCATATAAATCCTGTATAATAATAATAACAATCACAGCTTATTAAACCTTAATTGTAGCGGCTGCTTTAGTTTTATTTTTTTTTTAGGCTTAAAACATGTTCTGCAAGTGCAGAAAATACCTGTTGATCCTGCCAGAAATCCAATGTGCTTTCTGTGCACTGACCTGAAATCTCAAACCATGTTATTGGCATTCCCATTTTTTTCCTGTGAACTACAGAACACCTCTCCCGTGCAATGGAGGCAAGAAGAGGGGGAAGTCTTTGTTATCCAAATCAGCAGAGCCTAGGATGACAACACTGCTCTTCCATAGGTACAGTACAGTGCGTGTTGTCACTGTAGGACAGTAAGTATGTTACTGGCAAAATTGCCTGGTGAAAACAAAGGAAAAAAAAAACTAATGCAGCAACCACCTGTAAAAACAGGTAAACTAGAATATATATTTTTTTTTGTTTTTGGATACACTTTAGCTTAACCATTAGCCGCCCGGCCAATAGCCGTTTGGCGGCTTGAAAAGCGCTGCAGCTTTCCGGGTCCACGCCATTTGGCGTGCTCCCGCACATGCGCCGTTTGCGCTATTGCAGAGCGGCGCAGCAGCGGGATCTGTCACCGCCCGTGCACCTCGGACACGGCCGATGACAGATCCGAGTACCGGCTCCCGTTGCCGGTACCATGTGACCTGCCGCGACCAATCACAGCAGGTCACATGACAGTTGTATACAATGGATGGCTTCATTCATGATGCCATCCATTGTATACTAGTGCCTAGCTGTGAATGGTCACAGCTAATCACATGCACATGTCATGTGATTAGCTGTGACCAAATCACAGCTAAGCACAAAAAAAAAAAAAAAAAAAAAAAAAAAATATAAGCTGAATGAATCGATTTCATTCAGCTAAATGCTTGCTTATAGCAAAGTAATTCTTTGCTATAAGCAAATTGTGTAAAAAAAAAAAAAAAAAAAAACTGATCACTTCCCCAAAGTAGTACAATGTTACTATGGTAACATTGTACTATTTTGGTCATAGTAAAATATGAAAAAAAATCTTAAAAAAAATAAAAAAAAAATGTAATAAAAAATTAAATATAATAAAAAAAATAAAAAAAAATTAAAAAAAAATATAATTTTTTTTTTTTTTTCATACTGTCACCAGTCAGTGTCCCTGTTCACCGCCATGCCAGTTATATGATGACGCTGTACTGCACTGGTGACAGTATGTAAAAAAAAAAAATAGTGAAAATAATATTTTTCATTTTTTCATTTTCGGAAAAATTATGACAAAAAATACAACTTCAAAAAACTCGCCATGCCTCTTATGAAGTACGTCGGACTGTCTACTCAGCAAAAAGGGGTCATTTGGGGATATCTGTACTATTCTGACATTCTTGGACCTCAAGAAATTAGATTGGCTGTCAGTACTTCAGGATTGATCAATATTCAGATCTATACCATAGTTTGTGAACTCTATAACTTTCCTACAAACTAAATAATACATCCTAATTTGGGTTATTTTCACCAAAGACATGGAGCAGAATACATCTCGGCCTAAATTTATGAAGAACAATTATTTATTTGTAAACTTTTATAACAGAAACAAAGAAAAATGTGTTTTTTTTTCAAAATTTTTGGTCTTTTTTTGTTAATTTAGCAAAAAATAAAAACCCCAGCGGTGATTAAATACCACCAAAAGAAAGCTCTAGTTGTGTGAAGAAAATGATAAAATTTTAGTTTGGGTACAATGTTGTATGACTGCGCAATTGTCATTCAAAGTGTGAGAGCGCTGAAACCTGAAAAATGGCCTGGGCAGGAAGGTGTAAAATTGCACGGTATTGAAACGGTTAATATATACTATTACTGCTTCTACCATTTAAGAAATGTTCCAAGAAAGTAAACTTCCTTTATGTAAAGACAATTACTAAATGTATAAACACTGCTGTGAAAGGATAACTATTCTAGAAAGAAATTGTTGAAATGACTTATGAGAATATGAGAAGAAAAAGTGAAAGAAGAAAATAAGAATAAGACAAAAAAGGAGCAAATAAGAATAAAAAAGAAAAAAGATAGGAATAAGAAAATAGCACAAAAATACTCATATCCCATGTGATGCTTTACATTTTACTAACAAAAGTAAATAATACACCATTTTTAAAAGAAACCCTTCAAGCAATGCATATAGCTGAAGACAGAGTTCAGCAACAAACACATATTAAATGCAAACCCTCTAAAAACATGCTCAATAAATACAAATTCATAGAACAAAAATTACAAAAAAAAACAACAAAATGTTTACGGAATTTCTTTTGAAAGTATTTTTACCTAAGAAATGAAATGGCTCCAATTTTAAAGAGTCTTTGAAATGTCTTCTCACTCCTTCATCGGCCAGAGCTCACTTTGCACACAGGGAGATCAAAGCCTGGGACCGGGGTGCTTCAGCTGTCTTGGCGAGGCATTTGACATTAAGCGAGTAAAGAGCGTTGAAGGACCGTGTAGGGTTCTGATGTTTCCGAGATTTGCTTCTCAATAATTCAGTGAATGCTACTTGTTATTTGCCTCCACGGCTTGTGGCGAGATGAAATGGTCGGCTAATTATTATAATCCCTTTTTGCACAAACAAATAAAAGTATGTCTTTTCATGTGCTGAGATGTCCTTGTGAAGCTGTAAAGCTTTAATTAGAACTTTATATTATTAGCATGTAATTGGAATTACTAGTGCTCCCAGACTCCTTTGTGGGCTTCTGAAATCAGGGGCACAGGAGATAAGATAGCTGCTCCAAAGTCATCTGTGACAAAACCTAAAATAGAACTCCAACAAACCCTTTTTTATCACTTGATAAAGTAGAGAAGGGTTAAAACCTCAGGTTCTTATTGCTATATCCAAGGTGAGGAGATATTCCCTCCATGTAATTGCAGGCCAGAGGTACAAAAGTAAGGAGAACTCTGGTCCATGCCAACATAGATAGCATTAAAAAGACTTTTTATATGGGTAAGGGTTACAGTGGAACTTCACTTTATCTTTTTTATTCATTTTTTTAGTTAAAAAAAGGCAATGTTAATTTTGTAACAATGAGGCAGATTCTGAGACAGGTGCCTATACAGATAAGGGGCCATGTAGACCAAACCATCTGTGAGCTTTTACTAAAGTTGGATAATGTCCTTGCTATAGGTGTAGGCCATTTACTTACTTCCCAAAGCCTGGCAAGAAAACTCCCAGAGATGGCATTATCTTATCCTGCCTTGTTGCTAGGACGTTGCTAAACACAAACAGCCTTTACTGCTGACCTCCACCATCACAGGGGCGAGGTCTCAAACCCCTGCACATGTGTGGTCCTCTATCTCTTCTGCCACAGAATTGATGACTTCAGAGATACTGTGATAGGGGAGAGACAGCCCATTTGAGGGGGATTGAATCAGCTGGGACTATCTTAGCAACATCCTAGCAACAAGGCAGGACGCGGTGATGCCGTCTTTGGGTGTTTTTGACCACGTTTCAGGAGTTACATAAGTTGTTTACACCTATAGCAAGGGCATTATTCAACTTTAGTCAAAGCTGCACAGTTTGTTTTTATCTATAAGTGCCCCTAAAGCTGAACTTCGAACCATGTATGGACAGGCTGAATGTACCCCAGTTGATCGATCACCTTGGGTACAACCAGCCTGTTGGGTATTACTTGTGATTATTGCTAACACCTGTGGTTGCATGAAAGAAAATTGTACCATCAGGGGCGGACTGACCATTTGGAAACTCGGGCACTGCCTGAGGGCCCGGGATCAGTAGGGGGCCCCATGAGATGCCCCTGGTACCTTTTTCATAGGCTTTTTTGAGTTTGGGCAAGGACACAGGGGCCCGGGGGCCCCATGAGTTGTCAGTCCGCCCCTGTGTACCATCTATGTGCAGCTCTACCTGCATAGGCAGCTTTTTGTAAAGATGAACTAACCATTTAATTAATAATTAATACGACTAAGTTCTATGTTCATGTTGTCATGTGTCACTGGGGGATTCTGCCATCAGTCTTTAATTTAGCTGAGCAGAGCATGTGCTAGCAGTCAGATCCAACTTTCAGCATATAGATTGATCTTTTGCCTCTCAGGTCCCACCCTTCAGCACACAAAACAATGGGTCTTGCCCCAGTGAGACCTGACCTCCAGCACACACATTGGTATTTCTCCAGTTAGATCCCATCCCCAGCATACAGACTGGTCTTTCCCAAGCAGGATCCCCCCTCCATCACATATCCATTGGTGTTTTCCCAGTTTTGGTCCACCAGTATACAATGTTCAAATCTCTCCAGAGACTGCTCACTGCATAGTACCCACAATCCAACTCCAGCCCTGTCCCCAGCTTCCTCTTTGGTCCATGGCTGCCTAGGAGGCACGTGATTCCACGGGTTGGGCCCACCATAGGCCAGAACTGAGAATCGCTCACCTGTTATTATGTGAGTACCTCTCAGTCCTGAAAGAATGCT